ATTATACTAGGGTTTTTGTGTAGTCATGGTATGCCACTATTAGTGCTGGGGGCCTAACCCAGCATATGGGCCCTCCCTTCAGGATGTTAACAGCAGAATGATCAGGGAACTTCTCTGCTGGTGTGCCCCCAGGCCTTCTGATGTAGAGCAAAGTCAGTTTGTGAATCGTACGTGAGTTATCCTCACTGATTACTAATAAAGATTGTAGTCCCATATAATTGTACATAGTTTAGGGTTTACGGTTTAGGGTTTAGGGTTTAGGAATATATTTCCTCTTCCCTACTAACAAGCAGTACCTATCGGGTCATGGATTCGCTGGCGCCGATCCAAGGCTTGAGAGAGTGCGTGGTCGCAGAAAGCCGCGCATCTCGCGGAGCTCCAAATCTAATGACCTTGCTACTTGACTGCAGGCATGCAGCATAAAGCTGTTCATGAGAAACCAGCTTTGGAATGTAGTGTGGTTCCGCATACTCGGATTCCTGCTATAGAGGTGTTCCTATATGAGTTTTCTCATACGCTAAGAGAAGTTGCTTGGGCAAACGTTCCATTTTTCATCGGTGCTGCTACATTCTGGCACGTGATTCATTAGGGTTCACACGTTAGGGTTTGTAACCCCAACCCATAAACCCCAAACCTAAACCCTAAGCCGCTTAGGGTTTGGAGCATAGGCTGATTTGGAGTTAGGATTCAGGATTGTGTGCCGCAAGGTTGTGGATAGGCCTACAGTGGCCCTTGACTGATAGATTTTTTTGTGATTCCTCGTAATTTAGGGTTTAGGATTTACGGCTTAGGGTTTGAGGTTTAGTGTTCAGGGCCTGTTCAGGGTCCAGTAAACCTATGCCGCGCCACCTCATTCCCTCAAGACCCTCAAGTGGACAAAAACCTCCTTTGAAGCCTCGCACCTTCAGGCCCCGATCCCCTCACAGAACCCCCAGAACCTTCAAACCCCAACAACCCCTAAACCCTAAACACTATACTCCCCCTTAAGTAGATAGAGTATGGCTTTGGGTGTATTATAATAAGATCCCCATATACCCCATATTCTATCTACTTAAGGGGGACTATAAACCCCTGAAACCCTGAACCCCTAAACCTTCAAACCCAATGAGCCCTCTTTCCTGGGGAATGTTTGCAGCCCAGACCCCCTAAAGGATCCAAAGAATGGAACCACCTAATAATCCGCAAGCTTCCCCACTGTAGTAATGGGTTCATATTGAAGTGGTTCCATTTTTGGGATCCTTTAGGGTGTCTGAGAGCCTCAGGAAGAGGCTTTGAAGCCCCAGGCTCCACCACATGGAGACATGGGTCGCCTGGCGTTGGGGGTGTATTTTTTTAAATAGGGTTTTAGAGTTTAGGGTTTTAGGGTTTTAGGGTTTAGGGTGTCCGGGTTTGGGGTTTGAGGGTTTAGGGTTTTAGGTTTTAGAGGATTAGGGTTTAGGTGTAGGGTGTAGGGTTTACGGAGGAGTAAGCGCTATAGGGATCATGCATTTGGGGATATGCGAGTGTGTATTATGTAGCCGCCTGGGGAGCTGTTTATTCTGAGAGTCATGAGTTGTTGTAAGTAGGGCTGTAGGCCCTACGGAACAATGGCAAAACTAAAGCTGTAGAAGCAGAAGTCCTTTCGAACATGTGTCTGGAGAAGTGCAGGAAAGGTCACACTGCCGGTCAAAGCTTTAATCAAGTCTCCAGGTGTAAGTGGGCGGATTTCAGCAAAGCTTTAGCATTGCACACCCAACGAAAAGGCGAGGCTGTTTGTGTTTTGCACCTGGGAACTTCAGATTTCCTTTTGCCTTCTTCCAGGAGCGTCGAACACGATGCTTTTCAATTTCACTGGTGTTATACTACCTACACCCTAAACCTTAAGTCCTAAACCCTAAACCATATGATGATGGGGCCCCAAATCTAGAAAGCAAATTCGCATCTTGTATAGGACAAGTTGACAGACTCATGGTCTTGTTATGTTCCACTTTCTAGTGCATATTGAGGATGCCTGAGGAAGACCCCCAAACCCTGTAATAGTGGTATGGTAGGAATATAGTAGGACCTTAATATACTCCTTATTATCCCTTATAGTCACTACTACCCCTAAACCCTAAACCCTAATATAATCCTTATTATCCTTTATAGTCACTACTACAGGGTGGGGGGGTCCTCCTAAGGGATGCCTGGAATGGCTCATAGGGCTCTTAGTTTTGACTTGGGGTACAGGGTTTAGGGTTTAGGGCTAAACCCTAGTTAGGGTTTCAAGGCTTTAGTGTTGTACCCCTAAGGTCGCACCGCCAGAAGGTTTGCTCCGATATGACCCCTACATAGCCTTTAGAAGAACCAACGTCGTTTTCTAGGGTTGCTGCAAAGGACCCTTCAAGCCAGTTGAGTAGTATTTTATTTGGGAATACTATGGTACCCAATATAGAGTAAGATTCTATCTTACTGGGTTTAACCACCAAAAAAAAGCGACTCAGCAGAGGTCACAGGATCCGCGAGTTCTTCAGGTCCGCTAGTCGCTCGGCAGAAGCCATGCGGCTGAAAACTGTTCCATCTAGGTTTAGGGTTCAAGCCCTGGACCCTGAACTTGGGTTTAAGGTTTGTGGTTCCTCAAGCCTAAAAGCTGTATACGGCACAGTCTATTTACTAAGCAGCCCTGAAAGGGTCCCAGAATCGTGAACAATTTCAAGTTCCTGCAATTCTTACAAGTTTCATATGTCATCCCTAGATCAGCCCTATATCATCCCGATACCCTCTGAACGTGGCAGTGCATCAAACTCAAACCCGAAGCCTCAAAATTCTGAATCCTATAGTCACCATTAAGCAGATCGAGTATGGGGTATATGGGGATCTTAGTATGATTCTGGGTGGAACTCCATATTCTATCTTGAACCCCAATAAACCCAAGCCCTGTAACCCTAACCCCTGAAACCTTAAACCCTTAACCCCAAAAACTTGAACCCTTGTTAGCCCTAAACCCTTAACCCTAACCTAAACCCTTATTAGCCCTAAACCTTTAACCCTAAACAGTAAACCCTAAATGGTAGTTTCCATTCTCTTTTCCGTTATCCCTCTACAACCCTTACATTACCCGTATAGATACCCCTACATAACCCTATAGTCCCTCTCAAGTAGATAGAACATGGCTTTGGGTATCTTATAACAAGATCCCCATATACCCCATATTCTATCTACTTAAGGGGGAACATAGCACCAATATATACCCCATAGGAAAAAGTAGTTTGCATTTTCTTTTCCATTATCCATATAGAACCCCAATAATGTACCCTGTATTCTAGTTACCTAAGGGGGAGTATAGACCTTGAGCCCTATAACCCAGAGATTTTTAGAGTATCAGTGCGGAGGATCGGCTTCCTGGGCTACATTCGGAGTCTTTTGGCTCTTTCTGGCAGTTGCTAGCTTCTTGCCATGCAGTGTAGGGTTTAGGGGTTTAGGGGTTTCGGGTTTAGGGGTTGGGGTTTGGGGAGGCATGTAGGGGAGTATGTAGGGTTGTATGGTGGTATACGCGGCCTGATATGGGTAAAAAGGGCAATCCTTAGTCTGTTTTGGAAACATGAGGGTCTCCATAGCCTGGTTGCCCCACAGCTCGTCCGTATGTGTAAGCCAGACCCCTGATCAATAAACCCCCCCCCCTTAATAGGGATTATGGTAGGGATCCTAATTCTAAGGCCCTTAAAAGGATGGGTCTACATGATCCTTGAAATGGATTCGTACGTTATCCCTGTAATGCTGATAGTCTCCGTTTGTCCGCAGGGTCGCCGTTGTGTTTCTCCGTCGAAAGAAAGCCAGCCCTTAAATCCTGTCTCCTAAGCCTTAAACCTAGGCCTTGTATATTCCGCCATGACCCACATGGGGTCATGGGGTTTTCTTGGGGGGCCCCAAATTTACACCAGCAAATATTTTGATACTGGTTATGGGGACGTTCAGAATCCTATATAAGGGTTTAGGCTCTGGGGTTTAGGGCCTATATAGCCTTCATATACCCTCAACCCCTAAACCCTAAACCCTAAATCCTAAACCCTAAACCCTAAACCCTAAATCCCCTAAACCCTAAACCCTAAACCCCCAAACCCTATGGATCCTCGAGAGCTTGCCTGCTGGGGCAAAAATCTGCAAAGCTGAGGCTATCTGCTGTATTCCAGGCAAGACCTGAAGTATTGGAGCCGCCCCGAGACCATGGGTTTTGAGGTTTAGGGTTTAGGTCTTAGGGTTTAGGGTTTAGGGTTTAGGAGGTTCAGGGTTTAGGGTTTCAATAAGAGGTTTTGGGTGACCCCAGCCTCTGTAGTCAGGACCCGAAAAGAATAATATGATAGCAGTAGAGTCCTCGTTTTGGGGTTCTGGTTGCCAAAGCTTATTGGGTTTAGGGATACAGGGGCTCGTAGGGTCCCCCTCAGGGATTAGGTTGCAACCTACCTGGGCAGTTTGCATCAACGCTAGCTTCAGCAGGATGTCTGCCTTGCAACCCCAAGACCCAAACCAGCTATTCAGATGCTGAAGTGGCTGCTCCCATAGATAGGGGCCCCAATATAGCCCCATATTGCAGTCTTTTTCATAAACCCTAAGTGATGCTCAGGTGGCAACACATCTTTTCGATGTCGTTCTGGGTGTTCATGGCTGTAGTGTTGCCTCGGCTGCATGTTCTTGATCTTGTCGTCGACAGTTGATGCCTGCTATAGTGCTAGCAGTTTCTAGGCCGTTCGATACGAAGCTATACTACCTCCTTCCGGGAACTTCCCGGAATTTGCTGAGATGCGTATGTTGACAACACACAGACGATCCTGTAGCATTTCAGTTTTGGACCCAGGCAAGATCGTGCTGGAGTCTCACCAAAAGGATTCGAAAAGAGGAAGGGAGTCGTAGCATTAGGCTCCGTTTGGGGGTTTCCCAAATTTTCGGGTATTTTTTTGGGCGGGACTATAGCCTTTTGGGGTCCATATTAAGGCCCCCTGTTTGGAACACTACCTTTTCTGCCTATCCTCATAGTGTTTCCTGAGGTATCTTGGCATTGTGGACGCAGAGGGAAATCCAGACAGGGTCGATGACTGGTTGGATGGCTACATTGTAGAGCTCATCCTGTCCATGGCTGCTTGGCTTAATGTAGACCCATGATAAAAAAACCGTCCTTTTAAGGGCCTTAATAGTAGGATCCCTATCATAATTTCTATTAAGGGGTTTATTAATCAGGGGTCTGCATTAGGGTTTAGCGGGACTTAGAGTTGAGAAATTGGGGTGTAGGGTTTGGGTTTTAGGGTTTTGGGGGCTTGGTTGGTTCTTTTTTCATAGTCGTTCCAACTTCATCTGCAGGAATGGGCTTATCAGAAGGTGTGGGAGTCTCCGCAAACCCTGGGGCCCAATATTAACACCAATATATTGCAGTCCTTATTACAGGTACCCCCCGAAACGCAACCATCATTTTTGAACACCCTACGCCATATACCCTATACATCCCTATACACCCTGAAGAACCCTCAGATAGAATTTATGTAGCCCTAAAATTTTGAGTGCTTGTGCAGAAAGCCTCCATCATAACGGAACTGCCCGGAGACTGCTGGCTCCGGGTCCTTTTTATGGGATCCCCATAACAAAGATTTTAGTCTTTTGGGGCACGTCGCCTCGTTTATGGAAACTGCCACATATGCAAACTGCCAAATATGTATTTATGTATGCATGCATGCATGCATGCATGCATGCATGCATGTATGCAAGTAAGCACAATGGGTAATCGAAGGGAAAAGAAAATGGATAATTACATGGAATCTCTGGCATGGTAATTAGCTTTACAGTCATTTCCACAAGTTAGGATCCTTTTTTTGGGATCCGTGTAGGAACGCCTGTGAGAATTTAGGGTGTACACGCATGTTGGACCCCATTCCTGGAAACGGCCATACGGGGGGTTCTCAGAATTAGGGTCCCATTTTGGTACCCCTCATTATTAGGCGCAGTAATATAGTTCATGACCAAAGAGGGCCCATAATTTTCAGAATAACTCATATGGCTAAAAGCTCGAAACCTTTCCCAGAGCAAACATCTTCGAAACCAATCGTCCTTGGCAAGCACGATAAATGTGAGCACTATCCAAGGAGAACATCTTCCTGTACGCCACTCGGCTGCAGACCTGCCAATCAGTTCAGCACGGGGAACTCCTCTAGATGGAACGCTGCGACTGTACGTTATCTCTGCTACCAGAAGAAATGGGCATGTTGGGGGTCCCAATCATAAGGACTATGGTATTTTGGTGATTTTTGGGGTCTATATTGGGGTTCCCGCTATTTTGGGAAACTACCAAATCTAGGTAAACAGGCTTGCGGCATTTGGGCTTTATCTGCCCAAAAGGCAGAGAGTGCTGCGGGTTTAGGGTTTAGGGTTTAGGGGTCAGAACTATTTGGACAGAGCGGGGAGATTTGCAGCTTGTGGCAAGTCTCTGTGCATGTGGGAAGACCTTAAAAGGACTCCTATACAATCCTTAAGTGTGCGCTCTCAATCTCTACTTGTAGGATCCCACCCCCCCTAGAAGACTGAATCATGAGTAAAACAATCTCATGTTAACCATCATAGTTCAAGTGGAAAGTACCCTAAACTCTAAACCTATTCTCATTACCATTACTTAGGCCTTTGCATAGTATCCCTATAAACTTCTAAATAGCTTGAGTTTCTGTCCCATATTCCAATTATCCAGGCTCCTACATCAGCCCCAAACCTTAGACCCTGAACCCAAATGCTACACTGAGGAGATGATCCTGGTGTCCTTTCGTGTTCCGCCAAAGCTATCGAGGCAGATTCTATATGCAGCTGGGTCGCAGCTTGTTGCTGAGGGAATACGGATACCCTGAACCCTTTCCCCAAAACCCTAAACTCTGAACCTTGAACCCTAAACCCCAAACTCTGAACCCTAAACCCTAAACCGGGTTGAAGAGGCATCATCTTGGACATAGCAGGACCGAGGTATCCCAGTTTTCCCGACACAGTCCCAAAGAGGGGCTGCGGCCAATCCGAGTTCCTAACCCAGTAGTGAGGGTTCTTTAGGGGCTATAAAGGCATGGAAAAGACAACAGAAGCTACTGTATTGTTTTGGGTTTAAGGTTCAGGTTTCGTGGGAATCAAATCGGAAAAACGCATGGAACATGAAATGGCCAGTACTGTGGGGCTTAGGTCTCTACTCCCATTGTGCATCTCCAGGGTCCGAAGGGTACACATTTAACGAGAGACCCTAAACCCTAAACCCTAAACCCTAAACCCTAAAACTTGGCGCACTTCTTGATTCCAAGGTCACCTCCTTCTGCCAGATGTTTTTCCAGCTGCTTGCCTTCAACAAGGAGTCATGTTTGGGGCTCGCATGATGTGGGTTTCGGGGTTAGGGTTTAGGGTTGAGGGTTTGGGGTTTAGGGTTTAGGGTTTAGGGGTTAGGGTTGAGGGTTTGTGGTTTGGGGTTTAGGTATGTTTAGGGTTTGGGATGCATTCCTCCATTCGTTGCTGACCACCAGGCACTCATGATTTGTGAGCCTCAGATCGAGTGCTACCGAATATTTTAGCCTCTTTAATTTGCGTTGCTATAGGGGCAGGAATAAGTACTGATATTGTTTGGGTACTGCCCCCACCCAGTAACAGTCTATACTAGGGGTCCTATTAAGGGCTATATATATATATCCATATACCAATTATTATCCAACTGTTAGTGAGGGGGGGCAGTACCCAAGATATTGTTGTTCCAGATTCCTTGTATGCGTGTAGACTTGGGCGGCTTAACCTCAACATGACGTTGGTAAGTATGCAGGTCCTACATTACATCTAGACATCCAGGTGAAAGCCATGGATCTTTAGCCAGGTGCTTCCCTATATGAGCCAAAGTCTAAACTCCTGATAGCGGGTCATGTAGGGAGTAGTATAGTGGCTATGTAGCGGATACTATACCATAAGTCATATGATTGAGCAGGAATGCAGCGGAAAAACCTTCTTGTGACCGTCCGTTACAAAAGAGGCTCAACTAGAGTTGACTGGCTGGCAGTCAATCGATACGTATATAGTGAGCAAAATGATTGGTTCAAGTTCCTTAACAGGGACCTGGTTCAATGTTGACCCGGTTTCTGTCATGCCCTATGGACAGGAATTGTGATGAAACCACCCCACCCAAACTTGAGATTGCTAGGGAAGCTCCGGGAAGGATCAAGCCAAGCGCATGAAAGCGGAGAACACAGAGTCAGCCCAGTTTCCTATCATGAGGCTCTGGCTCTTTATGTTTGTGGCCGTGTACCTGCAAGACATCAAGAGTCTGCCGTACCTTCTCGGTGCTTGGCTCATGTATGCTTCCTGGCCACAATTTATCTACGTGTAAATGCACACATATGGGTGGTTCAAAATTATGGTCTCTTTGTGCGTACCCTAAATATTAGGTGCCGTATTATGATAGGGATCCAAAAATGGATCATAATTTTGACAACCACCCATATGTTAGAACTGTGTAGAAAGTCGGCAGTTCATCTTCAATTTGGATGCACGGGAAATGTGCTTGTGGCACAAGGTCGGCATTGCAAGCCTGAGGGAGGATGACCACGGCAGCAGCTTGGCGCTAAACTCTAAACCGTAAACCCTAAATCCCTAAACCCCTAAACCCTAAACCCCTAAACCCCGAAACCACAGACCCGTCAACCCGAAACCATTTGTTTTTGTGGCGGGATTGCCTGAGCGATCTTTGGGGATTCAAGGCTCCTGGTAAAAGTCTCAAAGGCTATAGGGATGCACAGGGAGGGATGCACAAGGATGAGGAGGGATGAAAAAAAAGTATGTATGTATGTATGTATGTATGTATGTAAATATAGATATATATGTATAGGGATACATGGAAATGGGGAGATATGTTCTAGACCCTAAGCCTTCTCTCTTCAAGGCTATACTTGTGTTCTTTCTGGCTAGAAGAAATGACTCAGACGAGTCGCGGTCAACCCTTAAAAAACCTTAAGCCCTGAACCCTAAAACCTGAACCCTAAGCCTTCAACCCTGAACCCTAAAGCCTACACCCTAAACCTTAAACCCTGAACCCAAGCCCTGAACCCTAAACCACCTAAATAGCAAGTCCGAAAGGACTATTTTCGGTCATCTTCCCTCTTCCCACATGCTGAAATCTCTGAAGCATCCTGAATTCACTGAAGCTTCCCTATGTATCCCTGAGAGCCCTACATATCTTTGTATGCCATAGGGCCGTATATACCTGTATTATGCTGATATACCCATATATGTATGTATATACATATATATATACACATAAATACATACATGTATGTGTGTGTATATATATATATTTCCACCCTGTAGGCTTTGATCCAGAGAGCTCGGATTTCTTCAAGGCCTTGCGAACCGCCCTAGGCCGCAGCCTCAGACATCTTTGAGAAGCCTGTGGCTCTGGCCTCATGGCTCCATCGGGACATAGTACAGGGTTTAGGGTTTAGG